GCCTCCAGTCTGCCCTGGGGTTTGGCTAGACCTTTCTGTCACCCCACCTTGCTAGCAGTGCCAGGCTTGGCGGTTAGGGACCCCCTGGCTCCTGTTGTTTTTAACACCTGACCAGGCAGGTGTGTCTCCCTCACCCAGGGTGGGCAGGAGCCCCTGCTAAGCATGTCCCACTAGTCCCCTGCCACTGCCAGCTTTGCTTGAAGCTGCATAGTGAGGACACTTGCCACCAGCAAGAGGACTGAGAGTTGGCATAGCTTGGGACAGAGACAGCCCAGCCTATAGGTTTCCTCAGGGGTGGTGTGGGGTGGGACAGCATTGCTGAGCTACTCGCTCTCTATTTGGTCAGAAAGGGACAAGTTTTGTGTTTTTCTTTTTGTAACTTAAAGTTTATTTTATTCATTGAGTTTAATTTTTTCTGTCTTCTTTTAGAGATTGATCTATGACCTCCGTTATGCTAGACAAGCTCTGACCACTGATCTTCATCCTTGGTCCTCTTTTTGGTGTTTCTATGTACTTATTTATTTATTTAGAGACAGGGTCTCATGTAGCTGAGGATGACTTTGAACTCCTGATTCTTCTGCCTCTACCTCCCTAGTGCTAAAATCACGGGTGCAACAATATACCTGCTTCATGCAAATTAGACAAGCACTCTACTGGGTTAGCTACAACACCCCTCCCCCACTGCTCACCAAGTCGCCCACCCGCCCTCGAGTTTGTAATCCTCTCTCTTTCTCAATGTCTGGGGTTTACCCCCAGTCACCCTAGGATCGATAATTTCTCGATAGAAGATTAACGGTTTCTTTCTCCTTAAATTGCCTTTACACACTGATCCTGGATTTCTAGCAAGGGTGTTTAGAGTTGTAGGTGCAGGAGGCAATTGCTGTAGCTTGTTACATGGGTTCACGGCCCCTCAAGCCCAGCACCAGGAAGCAGGTTCTAGCTCTGTGGGGTGCTGACTTGGTCAGACCCTTAGATAAATTGTTTAGGGGCTTGGGGCCTTGGCATCTTGCTCCGTAAGATGGGGTTGCTGACAGTCGGTCTAACTGGTGTTTGTGAAGTGCAGACAGCAATGCTGGTTCATGGTAAGTTGCTTTTTAAACAGGAACTCTTACTGTGGACCCCAGAGAACAGCTCCTGACATGACTGCAGATGCCCTGGTTGAGGGAGAGGCGGCCAGGTGGGTCCTTGTTCAACAGTGCAGGTAGCCAGTCTCAGAGCACCTGTGACTTGAAGGCCAAGGTCAGAGTCCTGGACAGTAAATCCAGCTGCCTTGTTTCTATGGACACTGGATAACCAAAGCGGGGCTCCGTGGGATTCATCCAGAAGGCTGCAAGAGCCAGACCTGGACATCTGCTTGGAGGCAAAGGATGGAGAAGGGGGCACTGGGAGGCCCTGGCACTTAGGAAGAGTTGGAGGCGACCCAAGCTAAAAGCAGCTGTGGTCAGCGTCCTGGCTTTCCCAGGACCCCAGCTGCTGAGAAGGGGAAGCAGTGGCCAGATATGCTGAGTTAGTGACCCAGCGGCTGCAAGGGACATGGGAAGTGCTGCCTAACTCTGTGAAAGTCCCGAGGCTGGTGGCTGCATCCCCACTGCTGTCCTTTGGGTCCCCTGACTTGCTTAAAAACATTTGCTCATTTAGTGGGAGAAGGGTGTCAACTCCTTTTGACAGATGTGCTCTGGGGACTGAACTCAAGTCACAGCTTTGGAGTCAAGTGTCTTTACCTCACTGGTCTCCCTTGATTACTCCGCCCCCATAAGGGGATCTTCTGCTAGAACGGGATGGGGGCTGGGCTCCTGGTTTCTTGATTCCCCTGAAGCCAGAGTCTACGTCTTACCTGTCCTACTAAAGATGAGTGTCTTGCCTTCTGTCATGGAAACAAAAGCCATTTCCGTTGGGTCTTCTGAAAGTGGTAAGGACTTCAAGGGGTCTAGCCTTGGCGGATTTTGCTGGACTGGAGTTCTGGAGGGTGCTGCTGGATTCTGTACCTCTTGAGTTGAACTCCGCATGTCAGGATGAGAAAGGGACGTGTTCCGCCATCTAGTGGCCCCCAATGGGACTGAAAGCTGTCATGACCCAAGGGCAGCTGCAAGCCAAGCTCTGATTGTAGCAGAAACTCCGGCCTGCAGATATGCATTTCAGTTTTAATGCAGAGATCCTAGACCCTGCTTCTAAATTATATACGGAAATGGAAATCCTGGAGGCCCCTCGGAGGGGGCAACAGGAGATGCAGGGTGGCTACTGCTGAACATCTATCTGGCTACTGCCTTTGGTGTCTTGAATAGCAAACTTTGGTCCATGTTTCTGTGAAAGAGAATCCAGAGTTGTCTGTCTTGCTCCTCTCTCCCATGTCACTCCACAACCTAGATGCAGATCTTTCTGTGGAGTGGGAAGGTTGGGGGCGCGTGTGTGTGCATGGCTGTGTGGAGATAATTAATTGCTTTGTAGGAGTTGAGGGAAGGGGTTGGAATCACTTTTTCTTTGGGTTTAAACTCAGAAGATGATGGGCAACCTTGTTGGGGAAGTCCTGTGCATTTGTCAATAAAGCACTGTCTGGCCAATAGGGAATCTAGATAGGTGGGACTAGGAGTCCAAGAGGACTCTGGGTAGGAGAAACACAAGGAGAGTCAACATGTAATGCCATGGGATAGGAAGCCCGGAACTATTCTCCGGTAAGAAACATACTTAGATTAACAATTATGGGGTAATTACTTAAGTCAGAGCTAGCCAGTAAGAAACAAGCAAGGCCAACAGCTTCATAATTAATATAGCCTCCTGTGTGTTTATTTGGGACTGATGTGGCTCTAGAACCAGGCTGGCGGGAAGGCTCCTCTCAAAGAAAAAGCTTCTCTTTACACAACCTTACTGGGGCACTTTGGTCAAATGACTGAGATCCACCATGAGTTGTGGGGAACTCTCATGGGCTGAGCCATATCCCCTCCTAATCTAGATGTTGGTATCCTAACCCCAGCACCTAAGACTGTAACAGTACTTGGATATAAGGACAAATGTGGATGTTGGTGGATGGTGTCTAGTGCAATGTGACCTGTGTGTCTATAAACAGATGGTGTTGTCATCCGTGTGAATATAGAGGAACAGCCATGGATAACATAGAGAGGAAGTGGCCAACTACTGGCCCAGGAGAGAGGTCTCAGAAGTAGTCAGCCCTAAGCTATGCATGTGGCTTGTTTCCTGATAGTTCTATGGAAATTCTGAGGTGGTCACACTTGCTTAGACAGGCTAGTGTTTCTAATTCACCAGGTGTGGGGTCAGTGTATGCTGTGTTTTCCAGCTCTCAAGAGGAGTGAAACTAGGGAACAACTCTCCCTCAGTTTCCAGAGATGGGCGTGGGTGTCTGGGACCCATTATGGTTAGGCCATAACGGAAACAGCAATTCACAGTCACCTGCCCGTATCCTCCCAAACGCTTTAAGTAACCTGCAGTAACTGTCAGTACTACTTGGTGCACAGGTAGAATTTAACATCACACTGGGTAGTGAGTGAGGACAAGGAAATGGCCTATACGTTTGCTACAAATGCAATTGCTTTTCTGAGTATTTCTGTCGAGGTTGGTTCAATTCTCCAGTGGTAACCTTCAGATGTGGGGACTGGCTGTTCCACGAAGCCCTAGGGTTTTCTGATGGGGCTGGAGAAGCTTCTCTCTTGATCGAAGATCCTTTCCCTTCAGGTGAGGGTAAGACAGCCAGGCCCCAGGGGAGAGGAGCCTTGTGATACTTGGGAAGGCAGATTTGGGGCCACTAACGCAAAGACTCAGGGCGACCCTCGATGCCGGCTCGATAGTAGCGCTGTACCGATGTCTTGGGCCGGAACATAGTCTACCAGCTTGACTCTCCAGCTTCCCCTCCACACCCCAGATTTCTCCAGAGGTGGCCAGATGTCCTGGTGGGGAAGGTCAATTATTTCTACCTGAGTTCCAGCTGTATGTAGGCCTGCCCATTTCATCCCCACAGTAGCCCCCTCTGGTAGGAACTGCTCTTCTCATATGACGGTTGGGAAAATTGAGGCATGGGTGGTGTGTGTGTGTGTGTGTGTGTGTGTGTGTGTGTGTGTGTATGTGTGTGTCTATTTGGGACCTTCCCTAATGAAGGAAGCTAGGACCTCAATGTAGGCTCCTTTCCAGGTCTGAGAGCTACCCAGAGGGCCACACAGCCCCAGCCTGGGACCACCTGGCCACATAGATGGTTACAGTCCAATCCCACAGAGCAGAAGATATTTCCTTATTGGCAAATCTGGGAACCCACGAGTGCCTGACCTACAGAACAAAGCACTTAAATGGCCCGATTAAGTAAGAAGTCCTGCACACTAATCTCACTTTACCCTCCCAGCTAACCCATCTCATTAAAGCCAAACAAAGCCATGCCAGCTGTGGAAGCACACATCAGTAACCCCAGCACTTAGGTAGCTGAGATAGGATTACTGTCAATTTAGAGGCTAGCCTGGGCTACAGAATGAGTCCCAGGTCAGCCTGGGCTAGACCAAGACCCTGACTCAAAAAGCAAACAAACCAAACCAAAATTATCAGAAGACACACAGGACATTTGGGACACTTGCCTAGGGTCCCCAGGTCTGGTGGCAGCAGGTAAACTTTGCCATCGGCTGCCTCCCGAATCTGATCTTCATCACCTGCCCACTAAGCACCTATTTCAGAGGGCACACACCACCTGACCGCAGTCTCAAGTCAGAAGAGGCGCAGGCAGGATGCGCTGGGCTAGGTTGGTGGTTTCTGTCACAAGAATCCTGGGTAGAACCCACAGTCCAGACCCATCTATGATGACAAGGTCTTGGCTGGGGAGGTCCCTCTGTCTGCCATGACCTTGGCACCTGTGTGCGGTCCCACGAAGCTGTGCTGACTTGCAGTGAGCATCTACACTCGTGACCACTTAGAGACCCTCGGCCTTTCTAAGGAGCACCCATCAGTTCCAGGGTCTCCTAGTCTCCCTTCTCTGAGAAGAAGCTGGGACAATAAGGGTGAAAGCCAATGAGAAGAGGGGTGACCTCAAGGCCAAGCATTTATTGTTACATTGTTAGAATTCCCTCTGGGAGGGTGTGGGGGCTCTGCCATTCACGGCTCATTTGCTTTGCATTTACAAACCTTTCATGGGTCAGGGTCATTGTCCCCATCCACACTGGTGTCTCCTAATGTGAGAACCAGAAGTCGCCACCACCCAGGACGTACTTTCCCCCACTGCTAGTGAAGTCCTTGGAATAAGTGGCTTTCTGGGAAATGTGTCATGCATGGTCCTAGCAGAGCTGTCTCTTCCCCAAGCCCCGGCAGGGAAGCCCAAAGTCACATCTGCCAAGACCCCTGATGTCTTCATGACCTCCATCTTCGGCAGTAGGGGAGGGTTCCCTGTTCTAAGTGCCCCATGCTGGCCAGGCTTAGGAGAAACCCCTTCTCTCCACTTCTGGATCTAGTGGTCACTCATGACAACCTCCTGTATCCAAGAGTCAAGACAGAATCTGCTAGAAGTGACCACTGGGTGTGGATGGAGAGGCAGAGGTGCCGGGGGCAGAAGCCCAGAGTCCGCTGGGAAGGAGCCTTCTGAAGCCGTAGGACCTCCTGCCCTTGGGACGAAAGTGTACCTAGACCTTCCCCTTCAAGGACCCAGCACTGCCGGCAAGCTTTCCAGAGAGTTTGTCGGTATATTCTGGGTCCAGAATCTGTGTCACCCTTAAGGGACACAGTTCGAAATGGCAGCTGACCTCAGTTAGAAGAGGGACCTCCCTGTCCTTGCTGGGCTATGGGCTCAGTAGCTTTGGGATTCCAAGGGTGGGAATGCAGAAACCCTCCGGGGTGCGGAACCTGACCAAAGCTGGACTGTACACCAGAGGTCCACCCTGCATGTTCTGGCATCTGATATGTGTCATTTGGAGGCTGACACGAAAACAAAGGGTCTTCCCAATCGGGTTACGAGGAAGACTGTGCCTGTGGGATCTTTAGAGAGAAGGTGTCTTCAACACAGGGACCAGCAACTAACTCTCAAGTTCAGGAGCTGTGTGTGGTCCTCCCACTAGGGGGCACTCTATATCGCTGCAGAAGACTGGTTTTGGTGGCTCAGAGGCTGCCCCCACTATCAGTTTTGGGAAACTTTTGGACTCCCAGTGCACATGGCCTCATCGTGTAGAACGACTGTGCAGAGTACAACGACACACCAGTCCTCCCTAGTGTCAATAGGCTAAGTTTATGCTCAGTGGGTTTGGTCCTGGATGCTGCAGCCAGGAGGAGGACCACAGGCCATGGTGGTGGCTTTCTCAGGCCTTGCTGGGGGCTTTGGGGAGCTCTCACTATTAAACATTCTGCATTCCCCACCTTGCCTACTGACCCGACCAGAACGGAGTGAATTCGTCCAGTGTCTGCAAATGTTGTGGGGGGGAGTTGTTAGGCTCATTCCTCCCCATCCCGTCCCTTCCGGTTGTTTCCCCAAGAGGCTCAGAGCTTGTGACAGTGTTAGCAAATGTTAATCCTCACGGCTGCCCTGGGAGGAACCGGAAGTATTATAGGTAAGACACTGATGCACAGTAAAACAGTGGCAGATGAAGAGAAGGGCTAGGAGCTCCTTACTCCGACCTTGTTCTGTGGGATTCGCACCCACCTCTGTTAGGTCATGGGTGAGCACACCTGTCTCAGGTGACATCCCAACAGAGGTTTGTTGGGTTAACGACTGGCACTTTCCCATTTTGTGCCCATGCTTGGAATGGCTGTTTGGGACAGAGCTCAGTAAACCCCGTCTCCCCCCACGCTCGTGAAGTCACATTCATTCTCGTGACAGGATGTCTGCAGCTCTTGGGGCTGCCGCCACCAGGCCCCTCTTCCCTGCAGAGATCTCCTCCTGCTCCCCACACGTCCACCTCATGATGCAGTGTCCGTAAGTGGAATGCCCGTGCCATTCTGCATCCTTCCAGAGCTGAGTGACCAAGTCAGAGTTCACGGTGTCTGCCCAGTGGCCTGAGGGGTGGCATTCACCACTTGGCCCCTGCTGGCTGGCTTTGCAACTGGCCCTCAGTGCCCCTGGCTCTGCCAAGGCTGGCTGGGGGCTTTCCTGCTCCTCCCAGCAGGGTATTCCAGAGACTGACACTTCTTGGAAGTTCAGTGCAAAATGCCTTGAACCACAGCGCTGGGGCCACCTGCTGGGTCATGGCTGGTTGATGTGTCCTCAGGGCCTGTCTTCAGACATACAAGACACCTGGATGGACAGTCTCTGTCCTTGGTGCCCATTGGAAGGGGTGGCCATCTCCGGAAAGCCTGTCCTGGCCTCTGCCTCAGCCCCAGGTCTCTCTGTACAGGGGGATGGACAGCACTGGGCCATTGGCTGCTCTTCTCTCTGATCTTTCGGAGTTGTCACACGGCTTTCTTACACATTGGTGACTTCCAGGCTGCTGTAGCACTGTTCAGGCCTGCCTTGGAGGTCATCATCTGTGCAGTCCTCGTTCTCAAGGGAGCCATAATCGTCGTGGAAATCAGGCTCTTTGCTGCTGAAGCCTCTTCCTATCTTCCCCAGGGGCAGCTGAGGAGACAGACACAAACCAGAGGACAGAGGAAGAGAGGTGAGAACTGAGCAGCGTGGCATCTCCAACCCAATTGCTGTGTGACCTTCAGCATCTCTCTGGACCTCTCTGGGCTCCTCCATTATTAGTGCCTCCCCTACTGCCCAGACACTTGGAAGGGATTTGGGGAATTTCCATGAGGAATCAACGTCTGAGTTTCCAGCTAGAGAGATTCAAGTTACCAAGAGTAACTTCGGACTAATGATCCTACAGTCTCCTTGCTGCCTCCTGTAGAGAGTGGGTAGATGGGTCAATGCCTGTGAGTGTGTATAAGCATGGGTTAGAGGTCACAGTGCATGCTCAACCCAGAGGGAATATTCCACCACCACCTGGTATGGCCACAAGCATGAGCTTGGGGCTTGCAGATGGCCGCTGCTCTGTATTTCCGGCTGTGGAAACTGAGGTGAGTCACTGCTCTTATCAGAGCCTTGATTTTCTCAGCTACAAGATGAGAAAAGTGGCAGAGACCTGGGTGGACTGCTGGGAGGAGCAGACATCTGTAGGGCACTGCGGGAGGGGAGATGGGTGACTCAGAGTAGGTGCCCTGTGGGAACTGTCTCTGTCCCTGTCCCCATGCGCTCCCCCTACACCTACCCCCTCACTCCCACCCCGGACGCATAGTGGCCTGTTGATGGACCTTCTGGTTGACTTTTGTTCCCATGATACTTTGCAGTTCTGTGCTCCGCTGCCTCTCTAGACCAGTGCACCCCCGCTTGATAGTCCAGAAGGCTCCCTAATTTCCCACTGTGTGTCTGCTTAGGCAACGCATGTATATATCAGCGCAGGGGTGTGAAGAGAGGGAATCTTCCTTTTTGTATATATTCGTGCAGGGGTGTGAGGAGCGAGAATCTTCCTTTTTGTATATATCCGTGCAGGGGTGTGAAGAGAGAGAATCTTCCTTTTTGTATATATCCATGCAGGGGTGTGAAGAGAGAATCTTCCTTTTTGCATATATCAGTGCAGGGGTGTGAAGAGAGAGAATCTTCCTTTTTGCATATATCAGTGCAGGGGTGTGAAGAGAGAGAATCTTCCTTTTTGCATATATCAGTGCAGGGGTGTGAAGAGAGAGAATCGTCCTTTTTGCATCCCCCTCCCACCAAATTTCCACTGCTTTGGAATGGAGGTTCACACAACCGATTGCAAGCCCTACACCCTCAACAGGCCACACGCCTTTAACCCCAGCACTCGTGAAGCTGGGACCGGAGGGTGGTGGGTTCCACGCCAGATGCAGCTACATGGCGAGGTGTGTCTCAAAAAAAAAAAAAAAAAAAAACAGGGCCAGGCTGGCGGGGTGGCTTAGCAGGTAATGGTGTTTGATGACAAAACTGACGATCCGAGTTCAGTCCCTGGCACCCGCCTTGGTGGTAGAAGAGAACTGACTTCTACAAGCTGTCCTCTGACCTCCACACGCAGGCTGTGGGTGTGTAAGCGTGAGTTCCCTGTGTCTGTGCATGAGCACACACGCATAATAGGAATATTTTAAAAAGCAAATTGAAAAAAAACATGAAATGAGGAAGGCTGGTGGGGTGCAGTTCAGTGCTGGGGTGCTTGTCTAACCCACACAAAGCCCTGGGGTCGACTCCCAGAACCATAAAACCAAAACCAAAGCAAAAAAGTCCAGGGTAAAGCCGGCGGGAGCCTGTTCCTGTACTGCCTTCCCTGTGCTCAGCTGAGTCCAGGTGCCACCAAGTGAAGGGTACGTTCACGATGGGAATGACAACTAGAGTTTCTGTTTGGTCTCTGGCCAGCTGCCCATGTTCCGTGCTGCCCTACTGGGTGCACTAGACATTCCTTACCGGCCATGGAACTCATCTGTCCCTGTTCCTTGCTGGGTACCCTAGAGGACACGGGACAGTGTATGCTTGCTGGCCATGGAGTTCATCTGTCAGTTCTGTGCAGACCTACTGGGTTCACTAGATGTTCCTTGCTGGCCATGGAGAATCTAAGTCAGATGTTTTCAGAGTCTAGGGCTCCCTGATCGTCCCAGCAGCGAGCTGTGTGAGGTGTTCCACACCCCTGGGCCCATTTGCTTCAGGAGGCCAGGATGAGGGGATCCCATAGTCTATAGACTCCCTGCCATAGACTCTGCTTTGTACGGACACATGTCACTGGGCGTTGTCTTAAGTAAGGGCCCTGATACACGATGGCTCTCCCGTGTGCACTTGTGACCCGAGGCTGCTCCAGGTTCACAGATGACAAAGGAGCCATAGGTGCATCCAGGAGAGGATTCCTGGCCCTGAGGACAGAGCAACGACTTACCCGGCCAGCCCTGTGCTTGCCGCCGCCCTCCTCTTTCCCAGCTCTGGTGATACTGGAGGCCCTGCCGGGTGGTGTCCCAAAGCGCTCCGACTCCCGGATGCCTGTGGAGCTGGGACATTTGACAGGTTGTGAGTTAGGCAGAGAGTCAGCCTGATGTCACTGTCCCCACTCCCCACATCCCTACTGCTTAAGAGCACTGGCTGCTCTTTCAGAGACAGGACGGGGTTTCGTTCCCACATGGTGGTTTACGGTTATCTATAACTTCAGTTCCAGGGGGATCTGATGGCCTTCATGGGCACCAGGCATACATGCGGTGCACGCATACAAGCAAAACACTGGTACACATAAAAAAATAAAATAAAAGGACTGCGGATAGAGCTCAGTAATGGAGTGCTTGTCTAGAATATGCAGGGCCCCGGGGCTCCATCTCCAGCACTGCAAAAAATAAACATCAATGCTCCTTTCTCTTGGTGTGTGTGTGTGTGTATGTGTGTCTGGGAGACAAACGAAGCAGAGAAGAGACAGCACCTTGCTTATGACATCCTCTGACATTACTATGAAGGACCGCTGTGTCGTACACCCAGCCTGGGATGCTGTCCAGGTTGGAGCCCTGATATTGATCTTAATGACTAGGAATGTTTCTCCAGCTGGAGACTTCCCATGCAACTCGAAGCACCATGGGAGGGCCACCACGGGAAGAGCCAAAGGCTCACCACCACCATGCCCCACCCCCTACCCCCACCCCTCACCCCTGCTTCTCCTCCACTCCGAAAGCTGAAGGTAGTGACAGGGAAGGAGGGCAGAGGACAGAGGCTTTCCCTGTGTGGTCGCCCACTGCAGAACTGCTCCATTAGAATCAACTCTAGGATGCGTGTCAGACGGCTCACCATGCCCTCTCCTGACCACCGAGGTGGTCTCTGAATTCCTTTGGACTCTTGGGTTTCTATGTCCCCTCAGCTGACTGAAGTCTGTTCCCGGGGTTCATGGCAGAGTCTCAGCAAGGCTTCCTGAACTTAGGGACCTTGTCTCATGAGACGACTGTGATAGTTGGGGGCAGCACCGTGAATGGAGGTGACAGCAAGCTGCTGGGCTCCAGCTGAAGGCTGCACTGCCTCTCTGTCCCTGACCCATCTACCTCCAAGTCCCAGGGCAAGCCCACTTCCTTCTGATCCAGAGGCAGGAATCCCACAGCTTTCATGCAGTCCCCAAGGAGTTGATGATCCAACCAATCACAAGGGGCCACCCTCCTGTTCTCCCTCCAGACCCCCTTGGTGCTCACTGGCTAACTCTGATAGTTCAGAGACACCTGCTACCCTCATAGTCAAGTTCTAAGCAGTTCCACCAATGTCTGCTGGTGCCTGGCCCACGATGACCCTCCAGGGCCCTGAGTATTTTAAGCCTGTTAAAAAATTGTCATTATGGAAAGGGAGGCAATTCTAAGAAGAAAAGTCTTCCTTCCCGACTCAAGAAGAGATAGAAAGTCCAGGCCTTCAGAGATGGCTTAGTGGTTAAGAGTATTCATTGCCCTTCCAAAGGACCTCAGTTAGGGTTCCAGTGCCCACATCAGGTGGCTTGCAAGCATGCATAACTCCAGCTCCAAGGGATTCAAAATCCTTGTCTGCACTCCTTGGGTACCAGCACACACGTGCACATATCCCTACACACACACACACACACACACATACACACACTTACAAATAATAAAGTAAATCTTTAAAAAATATATAAAATATATGTAAGTTCTCAGCAACTTCAGATCACAACCCTTCCAACAGAGAAAGCCCAGAAACAGGTGACTTCCTGAATGATGAACACCTGCCCTACAACCCCCCCCCAAAAAAAACAGAAGAGGAAGGAATGACTCCTTCTTCACCTGACAGGCCAGGACTTCACTGACACCAAAACCAGACAGAAGGCCTGAGGAGCAGGAAGACTACAGGCCAGGTGTGATGGCACAAACCTGTAGTTCCAGCACTTGGAGAAGCTAAGGCAGGAGGGCGCATGATTCAAGGCCAGCCTGGACATATAGTGAGTTGAAGGCCAGCTTGGACTACATAATGAGACCCTGTCTCAAGGACAACAGCAGTAACCTGATCCCCTCAAGTCCCCCCAAAACAAAACAAGCTGGCTCTTTCTGAGAAGCCCACACCTCTGCTCTTGAGTGTTCCATCTATTTATGTGTTTGTTTACTTATTTGTTTATATTTTATGTGTATTGCTGTTTTCCCTGCATGTCTGTGTGAACTTACAGAACTTACAGACAGGTGTGTGCTGCTAGGTGGGTGCTGGGGATTAAACCCAGGTCCTCTAGAAAAGCAATCACTGAGTCACCTCTCCAGCCCCCCTTGAGTGCTATGTCTTATTTCCTTCCAAAGCTCCTCTCTTTCTCTTAACCTTCCTGCTTCAAAAATGTCTTTTAATAAATTCCAGCTCTTCAAAGAAAAACAGGCAAACAACAACAAACCCAAATCAAAGCTGTATAGATCAGTAAGCCTTATGAATATCAATGTAAAAATCTCCCACCACACCAATCAGATTGAACAGCAGAAATGACTGTACACTCTGAGCAAGTGTAGTTCACAGTATCCATATAGTACAAGACCAAGCAGGATGTGGCCGCTTGCTGCTGGGTGGCCTTGGGAAGCAGTGGCCTTTAGAGACAGTTTGTCACCTGCTAGGATGAAATATGACCCTAGTAAGCACTGAACAAATGCTGGCTCACACCATAGTGTGACCCCCCCAGGGGACCACTTGTAAGGGCGGCATCCACAGAGAGGGTCTGGGCTGCATGGGGGTTCATCGCGATCAGTGTTTGGGCAAAGGGTTTAGGGTAGGTGGGTGACCATGCTCTGATCCCTTGGATCACAAGCACTGTTTATATGTCAAATCCAGCCTCTAAACCTTTGTCCCCAAGGCTACGTCTGGCAGAATGGCCACTTTGTTCTGTGAAATCGGTGCACATTGTCCCCAGCTCAAGCCACAGCTCACTCCGTCTTTCTCACACACAGCTGTTCACTCTCCCTACTCTGAAGGGCCCAGTGGTGCGTATTTAATCCGTGCGGCATTCAGGACCCGACGCTACTGTTTTCACCGGCTGACCTCAGAGCTTCAGTTCCTGACCAGTTTGGTACAAGGATGGGTGGCACTCAGTCAGGCAAGGACCAAGGCTACGACAATACCATCTGCTTCCTCACTCTGTGACCTACATCCAGGTGCTGGCATCCTCAGCCTGTGCCCTGTGCCTCAAGGCCTGAACCTCGCGTCTGCGCCCCACTCCTCGCGTCTGCGCCCCACTCCTCGCGCCTGCGCCCCACTCCTCGCGCCTGCGCCCTACACACTCACTTGGCCGGATGGAAGACGGTGCTCATCTCCTCTGCCAGGTGTCTCCGGAGGATGTGCTTTCCACTGGGGATGCCTAGGGCAGTGGCCATGGCCTCGGCATTGAACGTGGGCTCCAGCACCAGCACAGCACCATGGACACCGCTGTTGGTCAGGTTGTCCGCATACTCCTGAGGGCAGAAACGAGATTGATAGGTCTCGGGACCAACTGAGCCAAGCAGAGATAAGACCCCAACAGCAAGGATTTCACCCACGGGGGTCAACTTCATCCTCAGAGCTATAAACACAGGGGTCTTATGACAGTGGCTGGACCCTGGCAGGAGCCATAGATATTTATGGAAAAAATATTGCTAAGAATTGCCCCAGTGATGACAGCATTGAGCAGGGGTCCTATTGTAGCAGTGACAGAAAGTGTGTGATCTTGTCAGGCTGCGTGATGGTGCCCCCTACCCTACATCAAAGAGGACAAGGATTTGCATGTCATTTGCATAGGCGAGATAACCAGCCCCATGCCTCTGTCACCACGGCCCCTCACCTTCAGGTCAATATCGCGCACCCACTTGAGCACCCGCTGGTTGGTCCAGACCACGGGGTCTGTGTTCTGTGTTTCACAGCGGGCTCGGCGCTCCTGGAGGACCTGGGAGATGGGGAACAGGCAGTCAGTTGAGAGGATGAGGGACACATGGAGGTCACGTGCAGAAGGACGTTACACGGTGTCAGTGGGGGACTTCTGAGTGCCAGTGTAATAAGGGCCACCGACAGCTGTGTCTGAACCACACTGTCTGTGTTGTGAGAAACAGAAGGAACCACCTCCTAGGGTGCAGGGGATCGGGTGTTTGGGCTGAATAGACACCCACACTGTCTACTCAGTGTCCCCCAGGCCTGTGGCATTGCTGCCCCAGTGATAGGAATGGGCTCAGTAGACACTTGTGGGGAGCGCGCCTATGGTAGGGAGGTTCCTGGGGTCTGTGCATCCTGGTTTAAAATACCATCTTTGGGGTCCGGGGATGCATCAGCTTGCTGCTCTTTCACAGGTGCTCCCGGGGACTGATTCCCAGGCCAAGAGCGCTGAGGTGGTTTGAATAAGAACGACCCTCCCCATAGGCTCATACATTTGAATCTTTGATTCCCATGGGGTGGAACTGTTTAGGAAGGATTAGGAGTTGTGGCCTTATTGGAGAAGGTGCCTCACTGAGGGTGGGCGGGTTTCTAAAGCACATGCCATTCCCGGTCTCCCTCTCTCTGCCTGTGCTTGTAGACCAGATGCAGGCTCTGAGTTGCTGCTGCAGCACTGACCTGCCTACCTGCTACCATGCTTCCTGCCACGATGGAAATGGACTCACCCTCGGGAGCTGTAAGGAAGCCCCAACGAAATGCCTTCTTTTACAAGTTGCCTCCTTCGTGGTGTCTTTTCACAGCATCGGAACAGAGACTAAGACACCCTCTCTAGGGCTTCCAGTCCTGTCCCCATGTATTACTGTCAGGACATCCCATGTCCACCCTCTTCATCACACTGGGGCTCCTAGAGGCCAAGGCCTGGCTCCCCCATCGTCTCCCTCTGCCCAGTCATGCAGTGGGTGACAGGGCCACAAGGCTGACAGCCTTCTCTGTGTTCCTCTCTCAACGCTGAGCTGTTGATGCTCTGACATGGCTCTGGAAAAAGTCAACCATAAGGACCCAGCCCTGAGGGCCAGCCTCTCAGGGACCTTCCCCAGGGGACTTGTAGGGGACTGAGGCTGGGGCTCTGTGCTGTCTGGCTTGGCAGAGTTCAGAATCAAGGGGCATCAGAACTTAAACTGCCACAACAGCCAGGGCTCAGGTTACGTCCTGCATCCCAAGGCCACGCCCCACCCATGCTCATTCAGGGTTACTGCTGCTGCAGCGCTGGACTCTGGGACTTGGTCACTGTGGTTCTTTCAGTTGTGTTTTCTTCCTTAATTGTCAGCTGCTGCTCTCTGCAACAACTCTTTGTTTAGCCCCACTGCCTCAGGAACTCTCCTTGACCCCCAAGAAGGTGTTTCTCAGCTTTTGGAGAGCCCTGACTGTCCTCCCGTGTTGTCACCATGAGCTTCAGTGATTCTCCCCGATGAGCAATGAATTCTCTGAGGTTAGGAGTTCCCTATGTCCCCTGAACTGATCATAGGCTCTTGTCTACTCAAGTAGGAAGTTGCTAGAAGCGGGAAAGAGGAGGAGATAGTTGGACGAAGAGATGGGTGAATGAATGGATGGGTGGATGGATGGGTGGGTGAATGAATGGATGGATACATGGATGAATGGATGGGTGAATGAATGGATGGGTGGATGGATGAATGGATGGATGGATGGACGGATAGATGAATGGGTGGGTGAAAGAATGGGTGGGTGAATGAATGGATGGGTGGATGGATGGGTGGGTGGATGAATGGGTGGGTGGATGAATGGATGGGTGAATGAATGGATAGGTGAATGAGCAGATGTGTATATATGGGTGGCTGATGGGGGTTAGTGGAATGGAAAGTTGGTAGGTGGCTAGACGGGGTGCATGGGCAATAGGTGGAGAGCTAGATGGAGGGAGGGATGGGTAAACGGATGGGTAGATGGTGACTGGGTGGATAGATGGGTGGATGACTGGGTGGATAGACTGAAGGATGAATAAATGGATGGATCAGTTGGTGGGTGGGTGGGCAGAAATTGGATGTGGAGAAGCCTTGTGGAAGAGCCCTGTCCCTCCCCCTCCCCTTATAGTCCTCACCTCCCTGCTGAAGTTCACTTGGTACAGCAGTTCGATCCCCAGCAAGATGCTGACTTGGTGGAACTTCTTGGAGACGTTCAGGTGTTTCTCCAGGTCCCGCTTCATCAGGGAGTTCAGCATCCTCCCATCGACCAGGTGGTTCTGGAAGGCCTGGGAATACTGGGACAGGCCGATGTCGTTCAGCCAGGCCTTGGCCACCCAGTGATGGTCCAGGTCGGCGGCTTTGGACAGGCTGAGAAGGAGACACAGCCAGAGAGAGGTGGGAGTGGGGCAAGCAGGTGGACATGGGATCAGAGATGGGCAGAGAGGACAAAGGACAGGGCAGGGAGTAGACAAGAAAGCCAGAGACGGATGGCGAAAGGGATGGAGTAGAGAGACAGAGGGGAAGGAAGGAATGGAGCAATCAGAGATGCGGAGAGACCGAGACAGAGACTCAGACACACACACAGAGACTAAGATACACAGAGACAAACTCAGGCAGAGACAGACAGACACATGGGCCGACACTCAGAGAGTCTCAGGAAGAGGTGGGTGGGGAGGGAGGGAGTAAGGCAGAGAGACAGATAGAACTGAAGAACAGCAGAGGACCACAGGGACAAATGAATAACCCTGGGCCACACTCAGACTAAAACTGAAAGGGCCGTGTCGGGAGAAGCGTTACCTACAGCAGGTGTACCTCTGGGAGACCCCTCCTCGACTTGACCCACCCTACTTCCCTAGGGCTCTGCAGAGCCCAGGACTCCTCAAAGCCCCAGGCTGACTACCCTCCTCCCTGTCCATCTGTCTGCTGTCCTCTGGTCCCTTTTCCTGTTTGGAGGAGGATAAGAAGCCTTCACGGACCCACCCAGTGTTCCAGGTCTTCTGTCCCAAGACAGGGCTGTGGCTCAGCCCTTCTCTCGTTGGCTCATCTTTGGGTCAGAGAAACCCAGATTGCTCTGGCTACCTCTCTGTCACACTACAGACTTTTGTGCCGGACAGAACCCTAGAAACATGCACGTTGTAGGTATTCAAAAAGGCTTTAAAATATTTATTCACTTTTTGTTTGGTGTTTCAAGACAGGGTTTCTCTGTGTAGCTTTGGAGCCTATCCTGGCACTCACTCTGTAGACCAGGCTGGCCTGGAACTCACAGAGATCCTCCTGCCTCTGCCTCCCGAGTGCTGGGATTAAAGGAGTGCACCACCACCTCCCGGCTTTATTCACTGTTTTTATGTGTATGTGTGGGTGTGCCTGTGTGAGTTTATGTACACCATGTGTTTGCAGGTGTCCTTGTTTGGCTGGAATTGGAGGTTCCGGTTGTGAGCCGCCTGGGGTGCATTCTACAAAAAGGCTTTGCTGATGGGTGGGGATACACCTGGCTAAGGTGTTTCCTAGATGTCATTCCTGTGACTGCCACGCGGTGGCATCCTCATAGAAGGAATGAAGTCCTCGCAACAGCCCTGCAGAGGGACCCTGAAAAATGACTCGTGCTGACTGGTGGGAGCACAACATTGTCTAGGTGGGAGCACTCAGTACAAGGGAACACAATTAGCTTTCAAGGAGTGCTGCTCTTCTCTTTGGGGCAGCTGGAGATAGCTGGCATGTCCCATTCTGTTCCTAGTTTAGATGCTTTCCTGTCCTTCCCATCATCCCCACACCTGCTGAGCATCTTCTGAGCCCGCACTCAAGGTGCTGACAGGGTTCCCTCCTCCTTCCCCCAGGGGCCATCTCTCCATCTAAGGTTGTCCTCTCCTTCAATCTGCTGTTCTGGTTATTGTCCTCAAAGCACCCAGCGCAGGATGCATTTAATTACAAAGGGATTTATCCACTAGTTCATTGTCCCTCGCCCCTAACAGGGTACAGGAGATGTGATTGGGACCGGGGACATGTTCACTGACACAATGGGTGTGGGGATGATCTGCAGACACTCCCTAACCATTTGCTGGCAGAAAGTCTGCATGAGTTCCTGGCTCCCTCTCCTTCCCTCTGCTCCAACCTCCTGGAACTGCTTCTGTTTCCCTAAAACAAGGACCTCTTGTCTCCAGGCCTGTCGCCCACTATTCCCTCCTTATCATCTCCTACAGACTCCCAGAAACCTTTCAGGAACTACCCCTGGACCAGGGTCCTTTCTCTTGCCTAAGGTCCCAGGTCCCCATGTGTGTACCTGGCATGCTGGGGTTAACCACAGCTTGTAGGCCAACCCCCTCACTAGATTGTCCTAGTTAGGGCCAGGACAGGCCACTCAGCCCACCCAGTGGAATGAATGCTGTGTTTCATAACTAACTGCTCAGAAAATAGATCAGGGCTAGGGGAGGGACTGGACTCCACTCTGCCCCAAGAGGCTCTAAGTAAGACCATTCCAGCCCAAGATAATCTTCCTTCTGGGGTTGTCACAGAGGGCCCTTGCCCAGCCCCAGCCCTCATGGCCATTGTGGGTCTGAACTGGATGCACCCAGAAGGGTTGTCACTCATGGGAATAAGAGGAGAGTGACCCCCATCCTTCTGAAGTCAACGGTGCCACACTGTTGGGGGTGGTGGCCTGCTAATTTTCTCAGCAGTGGCTCGCTTGTAATCAGCAGTGTCCCTCTATAAGTTCCCAAAGAACATGTTTCTGAACTTCGCATTGAAGCTACTCAGAGCTGACGTAGGAACTCAGGCCTGGCTTCAAAAGGAAACCTGTCACTGTTTCACTGTTGTCAGTACCTCTTCCTCAGGTGGGGCTAGGCCAGAGCCCGAGGTCTGAGGATAGGCATGTCATGTAGAGACCCTCTGGGTTACGCATCAGTAAAAACACCGGGAGACTGTTCTGAGTCTGGGACCTTGCAAATCCAGGGTTCAGTTTCCTCTGTAAAAAACCCTAGCCATACTCGCTACACGGAGTGGCGGGGACTGAAGGAGCTAGAGAATGAAAATCCCTAAGCCCAGCTCCATAGCTATTAGTAGGAGATGACACTGTTTCTAACACCCTGGCACCACGGGAGGGCGCAAAGACAACGCATTAGAGCCAGCTCTGAGGGGATGACTTTTTGCTTCCTATCTGTCTGCACTAGATTCTTATCTCTAAGATGCAGACAACTATGTTTGAGGAATGGGTGAGTGGAATTGTATTCGTAAAGAGATAGGGGAAAGTTTGGCCAAGGGGGTTTTGGGCCCAGAGTGGCCATGGCCATTATCACAGCTGAAAGAGTTTGAGACAGCCCACCTTGGGACTCTGACCCCAGAGTCTGCGGGCTTTTAAAAGTTCCATGGCCAAGTCACAGGGCTTAAGTTGCAAAGTTATGTAGTCTTGTAGCGTTCATCTGGGAAAGGCATCACAGCCTCTACTGGATTCCTAAAAAGGTCCAACCCTTCACTTTGGTTAGCTCTTCCCTTTTTACTTCACAGGTAAGGAAACTGAGTCCCAGAGAAGGCAAAGTGACCTGGCATAGGACTCTCACAGTCAGGTCTCCCTCCACAGGACCTGGACTGTCTAATGTGGGGACCTCATGTTCCTTGGAACCATCCTGCTTCAGCTGTCCCCTGCACACATGGCTGAATGTGTGACCACACCTTTCTCAGCTCCGGGTGGATTTCAGGCTCGGCTCCTGCTATGGACCAGTTTGTCCCCCACATATGCATGTCTATGTGATGGCATCCGCAGTGGGTCCTTGGGAGGCATAAGGGTTACCTGACGTCACTGGTGGCAAATGATTCTCCCTTCCCGTGTGAGGCCCCTGTAAGAAGGCTGCCATGTATAACCAGGAGCCTGCCAGCCTGGCACCTTGCTCCCTTAGACTTGTAGTTTTCAGAGCCAGGAGAAATAGGTGTCTGTTGTTCATTCTACCTGGTGGGTAGCATTTTGTTATGGCAACCCAAACTGATGGAGACGGCCATGCGTTGGGGACAGTGGTGGACACTTGGGCAGTGTTGGGGACTCCCGGAACTTCTGAGAGCTGAAGCCAGTGGCCCCACGTGCTTGAGGAATGCAGGCAGCATGGAGGGGTCTAGACTTCGGGGTCGAGAGGAGGGAGGTCATCAGGAGGTGGCTGGGAAGGTGCTTCAGGAGCCCTTGTGAGGGTAGCCCCTTAGGGGTGAAGGCTGCCTCCCTGCGGCACCACCCCCAGCACTTCCTTCCTAGCCCTGACACCTCTCCTGCTGGCTCTGTGTTGCCAGTTTTCTGACCCCTTCTCTGTAATACTCATCACCTTGGCCTGGCACCAGGACCCCTCTCCTGCTGCATAAGATTGTATTTCCCTTCTTGGGAACTGGCCTGCTTCTCCACCCCTCCCCTCCCTCCCTCCCTCCCTCCCTCCTTCCCTCCCTCCCTCCCTCCCTCCCTCCTTCCCTCCCTCCCTCCCTCCCTGTTAATGCACAAAGCAACTTCTGCAGATAGTAGCACACGCCATCAGGTTTGATTAATTAACTGTACAGAAATGATGGGAAGCCAGCGAAGGAGATAATTATGCAAAACAGGCCGTGTCAGGTTTACAAAACTGGCCCCTCCCCACTCTGAGCACCAAGGACTGGATGTTGGTGGGGGTGGCTTCCCTTTTCATAAGAGTTAAAAAAAATGGACCCCTCAGAGGTCAAGAGAGAAGTAGAAAGAGAGTGGGGCTGGGTGGGGGTGGGAGTGGGGGCGTGCTCCAGCGAGGACAGTCTGGATTCTGAGAAGGGCTTCCAGCCCCCATCAGGTACATCTGCTAAGAGAGGCCTGGACCAGTTGGCACTACTGCTCCGTAGAAGACTTCCAGGAGACTCTGCAGCCCTTTGCCTCCTCTGTCTACCTCTGTATCTCCTCCTGTCTTCCCTCTTGCTCTATTCCTTCACTCTGGGGTGGACAGACCTGAGCTTTGAGTAGGTAAGGCAGACGCGTCGGCTGTGTGGCCTGGTCCCCACCAGCTGGGCAGACAGAAGTATTGGGAGCCACCACTCTCCTGACACCCGCTCTGAGGTGGAGGTATGTCACCAATGTTCTGAGCATGCGTGCCTCCTCCCGTGTGTTCTTTTTCTCTATGGTGGCAGGGTACACCTGGGCCATCTCCGCTATCCTCGATGTCCTGAAGCCTGGTGTGACCCAGTGTCCTGCTTGCTCGGGTGACAGGGAGGCTCAGGACAGAAAAGCCTTGCTTTTCCAGGTTTCAATGACTCACCTGCGGCCAGCCTCCGCGTCACGGTAGTCCTCGATGGCCAGGCGGAGTTTGCGTCTGTGCAAGGAGCTGCACACACCCAGGCCCAACTCCAGGTCCTCATCACTCAGGCTGAGAAGCACCTGCTTTCAGAAGGTAGACTTAGTGCCCGGAGGCGAGAGGTGGCCAAGGAGTAGGGAGGCCTGGCCATGGCGCCTGGAACCCCAGGCCCTGTTCCCTGTTGCTGGGGCCATACAGAAGGGTCTGAGGGTATGTGGCTCCTCATCCACATTCTCTCCTAGCCCAGCTCCCTAGACAGGGCAGCCTGTGATGGCTGGAAACTCCCAGCAAAGTCTGTCTCTAGGGAGTGGTGGTGCAGCCCTTTAATTCAGCACTTGGGTAACAGAGGCAGGTGGATCTCTGAGTTCCAGACCAGCCTGGTCTACAAAACCAGGGCTACACAGAGAAACTGTGTCTCAAAAAGCCAAAAGGAAAATAAAATAAAATAAAAAAGCCTGTTTCTAGGAGCTCTGGGACCCATGTCCCTTGGGACCATCTTGCTTCAGCTCTCTCCTGATGCCTGGTGGTGTCTTTACATCTCCCCTTGCTGGGCTCCTGGATGCCTGGGCTCAGCTATTGTTATGGACCACCTTTGGGTGGGATGCTGCTTGGACCGAGATGGGTGGGGCCCCCACCTAAGCTAAAGAACTCCCCAGTCCAGCCCTGACGTTTTTCTGCCAGCTAAGGAGAGGTTCATTCCAATCTAAGGACAAAGCGGCATGACTCCAAAGTGCCGTGTTTCCTTGCTAGGCAGACTGATTCATTGGTGACCTGGGCCTGCAATAAGTTGGCAAGCTTCTAGGCTACACCTCCTCCTGTCCCAGGGGTAGAATGAAGACAGCCAACTCCTGGGAGGGGACAGCACTCATGGGAAGGTACAGGGCCACCCCTGGGGGCCCGAGCTGCCTACCTTCCCACTCTTGACGTTCTCTGCACAGGCCTTGACGTACATGGGCATGGCCATCACCACCTCCAGCCAGGCCTGCACCGTGCCAGCCTTCCAGTGGGACATGGGCGTGGTCCTCACCAGCTCCACATGCTGTAGACGGTCCATCTGCTCCTCTCCCTCAGACAGGCTGAGGCTGTGCCGTGTGGGGCTGCACTGGCTATCGGAGTCTGCAACACAGGAGTACACAGAGCCTTGCTGGGAAGGAGCGACATTCTGGGTGGGGGTGGGGGATTCTAAGACACAAAACCAAAGTGGCTCTCCCCATGCTCCAGGGGATGGCCTCACATCCATGCACACCCAAGAATCACTGATAACTCTCAGGGGTCACTAAAGAAGAAGAGAGAGAAAGAAAGTTGGGAGGGGGATATGTGTGTGTGTGGGGGGAGAGTTGAATGGGGAGGCATGGGGTGAATATGATCAGTAGATGTATGAATTTGTCAAATAAATCAATCAAAGTGGCTCTGTTTGCCCACCCATCCCCCATTACAAAGTCCTCTCTGCTTCCCACAAAGATGGAGAGACATGATATCCAGAAAGAAATAAACCTAACACACAAATGCAAATCTCCCAATTCTGCCTCTAGACAGCAGCTGCTAGTATTTAGTTAGTCTCCAGGAGACACAAACGCCCCTGCTCCCAATCGAAGACCCACACACATAGCTCTGTTCTGCTAGATGCTTTTGGCCAGACACCGTGTGGGATATTGTTCCTTCTTCCGTAGAGGATTTCAGTGCAGTCTTTTGACAGTGTCGGAAGGACGCTCGTGGCTGATTTTGCTCTGCATAGGCTGGGGGTGCAGTAACAAAGTGGGGTTGTTTCCACTTTTATGCCGTTATAGATACAGAGTGCCAACCAGGTGATTTGTTTTCTTGGGATAGAGGGAACTCAGCTCCATCTGTTAACACTTTGAAGCCTGTCTCTGAAGTAGCCTCATACGCGGAAGGAAACGAGCCCCCAGACAGGTCGGCACAGGGCTTGTGCTGCAAACATGAATACTTGACTTTGATTCCCTGAATCCACATAAAAAGGAAAACTAGATGGGACCAGAAAGATGGCTCAGTGGTTGAAGGTGCTTGCTGGACAAGCATGGTGACCTGAGTTCAACCAATGTAAAAGTAGGAGGGGACAAAGGACTCCACAGTCTCTGTCTCTACATCGCATTGTGGAAATGCATCACCCCTCACATACACATGCTAATTATAGTTACACGTGAAGATGGGATGGCCATCCATTCTTGTAATCCCAGGGCTGTGGAAAGTGGGGCCAGGTGGGTCTCTAAGGCTTACTGGCCAAATGACCTGGCTCCTAGGAGAGCACAGTCCAGAGAGACACTCTCAGAAAACGCAGGTGGATAGCGCCTGAGGTGGGAAAACTGAAGTTGTTCTCTGGTCTCCACACTTGCATGCACACACAGGAACACACACCTGCACCCATACATACATACACATGTGTGTGCACCTGAATGGGAATGTATACCTGCATACACATACATGAACATGTATGAACACACACACACATACACACACACATAAATATGGTGGTGCATGTCTGTAAGCCCAGTGCAGGAAGGTCAGGGATTCAAGATACATACACAGATACACAGATATGTGTGTAAGTATATGTATACACACAAATACAGTACAACAAGGGTAAATGTTACAAGTCTTTATCCATGGAGGATCAATGGCATCGTTGAAAACTGCATGAGTGTGTGTGAGCGCACAAGTGGGTGCTTTTTTTTCTGTCATTCAGGCTTTCTGCATTGACTATCTAGGATGAGAGTCTCTTATCTAAAATGCCTGGAACTGGAAGTGTTTAGACTCTGGATTTCATCATTTTCTCTACTTCTGTGATATTTGCATATGTGTAAAGACATGTCTTGAGGGACCCAGGTCTAAACACGAAGTTCGTTTCTTGGTTCCTGCGCATCCTATGATGATGATGGCGTTACACAATATTGTGCATGATACACACTTTTGTGTTGCAAAATGTTTGTTTGTAAAGATTTATTATTATTATTTTAAGAGTATGTCTGTATGGGTATGTGCATATGAGTTCAGTGTCCAGGGAGGCCAGAAGAGGGTGTCACATCCCCTGGGGCACAGGCCGGGAACCAAACCTGGGTCCTATGTAAGAGAATCCAGTGTTCTAAAACAATGAGCCATCTCTCCAGCACCATGCCACGGGGCTTTCTTGAGGGTGTCTTGGTAGTGCTCAACACGTGTCATATTTTGGAACACTCCACGTTTTGGATTTTTGATTACAGTGATCCCCTGGGAGCACTTGCACAGGAGTGGACTTGTTGCTGACCTTGGGGGGAAATGACAGGTGATGTGTCTTGGTATTTGTCCTCTGCCACCAGACCTCAGTGCTGGGCAGACCCTGGTTTTGGGCAAACGTTCTGAAGCCTCAGTTTCTCCATATATTAACTAAGTATAACAATGCTATCTGCCGCCTGGAGGACAGGTATCTTACACTGTGATGGCGTGGAAGGCCCTCCCTCAGGGACAGTTAACACTGGCAGTGAGGGCCTTTCCCAGGGACTTGGACCCATTTGGGCCAAACTTAGAATTCAGCAGATGCCTTGGTCTCACACATTGCTTAGATAAGATGCATTTGTTGTTGTTGCTGCTGCTGCTATTATTCAACCCAGGTGCCAAGAAAGGGATTCTAGAGCCTGGGTTAGACCCTGGTCTGGGTTGTGTGGTCAGGGACAGAGGCGTTGGAGGGTGAGGGGTGGAGCTGAGATTTTTGTGCCTGATGGGAATGTCTATAGTGCTTGCCTCCCAAGAAAGGGGTCTGGGAGAGGGGTGGGGAGGGCTGAGGAAGGAGAAGGTGAGAAGCAGGTGTGGGGGAGGGGGGCACTGAGCACAACAACACCAGTCTTCTAGAAAGACACAGCAAACCTCAAAAGGTGAACAGGGAGAGAGGGAGGTAGAGTAGGAGGTGGGGAGGAATGACTGACAGGTGGACACAGATGGCAAACAAATGTCCCATGTCTGCTTTTGTGTGTGCATGTGCCCATGTGCACAACATGTGTGTTTGTGTGCACACCCTCTGCAGCCGTCAGGTAGGTATGTGTGTGTGCGTGTGTGAGTGTGTGTGTGAGTGTGTGTGTGTGTGTGTGTGTGTATGAGTTGATCTTCCTTACACCTACAGTTGAGTATGGAGCACAGGGAGCACAAGGGAGCACAAGGGACCTGCAGGCTCCCACCATCAACTCACACACTCCGGCTTAGGTAGACAGCCAACCCCCCACCTACTGCCTTTTGCCCCAAATCTGAACTGTAACTTGGAGGATGGGGCAGGAGGAAGAATCTTTAGGGTCACAAGGCTAAACTGCTTTTCCCCAAATGTGAGCCTGAGGTGTCAGTTTCCGTGCCTGGGCTTCCATCAATTCTGGGTTTATTTCCCCTCCTTCTCAGGCCCAAGAGTAGAAATAGGTCATGTTTACAGCCTGGCTGCTTAACCAAAGGGCTAGAGTCAGAGGACTGGGGATTTGCTATCACTACTAATATGCACACACACAAACACATACACACACATCTTCTCTCTGTCTCTGTCTCTGTCTCTGTCTCTCTCTCTCTCTCTGTCTCTCTCTCTCTCTCACACACACACACACACACACACACCTTGCAAGGTACTAGAGGCTTCCCCAGGAGGCCACTGGACCTGTGGAGGCCACGGTGGAGCCAAACACAGGGATTGGCACAGGGTTGCATCCAATCTTTTACACACTTTTCTGAAAAGCCTGCGTGTAGCTCACCGGAAGCCCTTTTGCCTTGAATGCTTGAAGCCCCCAGCTTGGGGAAGAAAGAAAAAGTGCGGTCTAATTTTTTTTGTGGGACCATAGCCACACCCTTCAGTTCTTCATCTGATCTTTCTCACACTGAGGATCTGGGCATCTGTGACAGAGATCATCTGGCCCACCAAGTTCCAAACAGCCGTGTCTGGCCCACTGCACAAAGTTCTTGGGAGAACGGGCTGGCCTGGCTGTTGAAGGTAAACACAGGGGCGTTGTTCACCATTGCCTCATTCTGTTCTTCCTTCCTGGTAGGTTGGGCACTTCACTCTCTGGGTCTCTGGTTTTTATGTAATTGTCCTCAGAGTGTGGTCCCTGAGGCATCAACATCAGTGTCACCCGATAGCAAGCTAGAGATAAAGGTTTTAGGACCTCATGTCCCCTAGAACAGCTTCCACAGGTGTCCCGTGATTTTGAGGCACGCCCCAGTGGCACACCCGTCCCTGTATGGCCCATCTCACACTCACTAGGCAGAGTCGTCTGACCATCATTGTCTTAAAGTCCTGTCTCGAATAGTTAGAATGGACACCAGGGATTCCCAGCATCCCTTGCCTCTACAGTGCTACAGCCTTGTTTTAATCCCGAAGACTTCAGTAATGGGACACTGTGATCATGACTACTTTACATTGATATGTGTTTGCTCAAAATAATTCCCCTAGACTTATCAGGTTGTTTTGTTTATCACTCCCTGTTGTCTCACAGACAGATTCTGGGATTCTATTTTCCGACTTCCCAAGAAGGTGATCGAAAATCTCCTTTGGGCTAGGTGGTGGTGGCACACACCTATAATTTCAGCACTCTGGAGGAAGAGGCAGGCAGATCTCTGTGAGTTTGAGGCCAGCTTGGTCTAAAAGTGTGTTCCAGGACAGCTAGGGATGTTACACAGAGAAACCCTGACTTGAAAAAAGAAGAGGAAGAGGAGAAAATCTCCTTTGATTGAAAGTATTTGGGGGGAGAGTGGGAAGCTTTCAAAACTTTTGTTTATCTGAAGAAAACTCGCATCGAACTCCGGGGGTGGGGGTGGGGCACGGTGAAGGGTTTCCCACACTCCGTTGCTGCACATCTCTCTCTGTCTCAGGGGAGAAGTACATGCCTGTCATGAGGCACACATGGAGGTTGGAGAACAACCTTGGGTCTCAGTCATGCACTGTCCATTCTGTCCTGGCTTGGTCTGCAGATGCTGCTGGTGTGGGGCCGTTCATCTGTCCTGACATGAAATGATGTCTCTGGTCCGCCTACTTGATTTTTCTGAGACAGTGTCTCATGTAGCCTCAAACTCACTATGTAGCAAAGGGTGACCTTGAGCCTCAGACCCTCCTGCCTCTACTTTCCCAGTGCTTGGATGACAGGCGCGCACCACCACAC